AGGAAGCAAAACAATGACAACGTCAACAACAAGCGTAAGAATGGAACAAGATCATCGGAGCTGAACACAATGGACATCATCTAGGACATGCCAGATCCCTGCTGGAGGAGATTTCCCACAAGAAGAACCATCTTGCCTCTTATTGGCTGTGGTCTTAAAATGAGGGAAGACTCCAGCTAGAAAATAAAACATTGCTCTATTGTCCCAGTAGAATTCCAAGCGGAATATTGACCAATGAGAGTCGTGTCAACAGAAGCAAAGCTGAACATCTTTCTTTACTTGCTTGAATTTTCAGAACATGGAATTTGTTTTTGTATTGTGTTAAATTTCATATTGTTTTCTGTTAGATCTTAATATGAAAATTTGCACAAAATGTGTGAAAATCAAGACAGAACTTACAATTATTTTCTGTAAGTTTTAAAATCTGGAAGAGCATAAAGACAAAGAAGGCTTCTTTGAAAGAATCATTCTAAATTGATACTCCAAAATGCTAATAATTTTTTAAGAGGATGTTACAAAGAAAACCTACCCTTAAAGTGGATGGTTCAGTTTTAAATGAATCTTTGACAATCTGTGAAGCCTTAGAAGCATTTTGGACACACAAGGCACTGTTCTTTGAATGTGTGAAAGTTCTAACATATCATGACGTAGTAATGGCCAAAGTCAAGAACATTTAATAGGAAATACATATCCCCTTTGGTCCTTGCAGTTGTATGTCCATTTCTGTTACAGAATTAAGAGCATTTCTGGTCTATTTCCATCTTTGTTTTGTGTTCTCCTTCCATGTTTTTGAAAATAAGAAACGTGTTCGGCAGTTCCTGTTACTTCATATTTACTGTTGACAGCAGAATTTCAATATATTCTGTAAATTTTAGCTGGAACTGAACACACAAAATACTGTGTCATAGAGCATTTTTATTACATTTTATATTCGTAAACACTTCCAGAGAGGAAGTCTGTTAGACATATAGTTTGAATTAGTTGAAGTGGCATGATAGTACAGTCATAAAACTGAAACTGCTTATAAAATTTATTAAAACTCATAGGATGAAAATGTCTACAATGTTGATACTGTGTTCTTCTTGGTTGTTGACTTCTGTGAATGTTCTTGCTTAAAGCTTTAATATCACAACTTCTGCTTACATTTAATAATAATTTTACTCTAGAGTAAATGTTATTGCATACAAATGTAAAGAATTCATATCTCTTCTTCTTCATCTTCTTATATGGCTCTCCGGTCCGTATTCGGTCCATGACCTCCTCAATTCTCCTCTTCCGTTCGGTCCTCTGTTAGGTCCATTCTGCCCGAGGCTTTGATCAAGGTTTCCAAACATCTTCCTTTTTACGGTGCAAGGTTGTTAGCCTTGCGACCAACCCCCAACCTGGAGGACCAGGGCACTTGTCTTAGTCTGACCTCTCCCCCTCGACCAATCTGGCTAGGGAGGCCCTACCAGTAGCTCTTGGGGTCACTGAGGTACTCAAGCCCCACCACCACGACAAGTCCAGGTACCATTAAGTGGGGTCTTATATCTCTGCGATGTTAAATAAGTTTTATTTTTCATTAGTCACTCATCAGTAGTAAGTGTGACAAAATTAGAAAAAAGGAGTCTTGGATTACAAGTTTTGGTACTATCTATTCATTCCACTGGCTTACAGTATTTTCACGTCGGGGCAATGGTCGTAAAATTTTGCTTAACACTCATTGAAGTTTAAACCCAGAAGCAATTTTCGATATTAATGTAACAAGCGCAAGAAGCCTCATTATCATGAAAGTTTAGGGATGCCGGATTCAAAATATCCATTTCCGTTAAAAATAAATTTTCCCACCACCTCTTCTCCTAACCATGTGGTCACTTTAAACTTCTCATTATCCCTTTTCCCAACTCACATGATCACTAAAATTCTTTCATCACCTCGTCTCCTTACTACATGACCCTAAAAAGCTGTTCGTTGCCTCTTTTCCTTAACCACCTGTTTGCTGCCGATTGGATAGCAACTCATTTCTCTGTTCTGTCAATCAGATCTCTCACGTCCCACATTCCGCCTAATGCCTGCTCTATATAAGGCTTCATAAGAATCCCCAAGATAAATTCACGCTGAAGATAGCAACTGCAGAATTTGCTGTAACATTGAAGAACACACAACATTGAACGTGGCTCATCGCCGAAAACCGAAGTTCTGCGGTGAATTCGAGCCACAAAAACCTCGGAGTAAAAAAATTCTGTTATAAATTGCAGTTTCAATTAAATTGTCTGTATATCTTGTCATATTTTGAAAATTATGTTTAATGCCGGTAAATTAGTACCAACACATACTGTGCTTGAACAGAATATGTAAACCTTTTGTAATAACATGCTATCAGCAGGGATCTTTATGTTCATTGTGAAAATTTTAATATTTTGTAGGATTACTTTCCTTAAAGAGGAACATGGTTTAAGGTTGAATTATATTTAAATATGTGGAGGTAGGAAACAAGAAATATAATGTTTTTGCATTATAAAGAAGTGAAGTGCTGGAATGCATTTAAATAGAGTTACAATTATTATTTCTTGGTCTACTCTCAGGTTACCCAGTTCTTATGTTTTTGTCGGCATGAAAGGGTATTCACTGTGTGGAAAAACAAGATTTTGGGAAGTGGTCACACTGATAGTGATTCCCCAACCAAGTGTGGGAATGAAAGCATTTTTTTACCTGTTTCACCAGACATGATAGTTTTCTTACGTGTTTTATTTCATATTCTCTGTTTATTATGTTTTTTAAGCATCAAATTTTTTTCATATATCACTGTTACTGTTTTCTTTTGAAGTTCTGTTTTATATACAGGAAAATACATAAAATTTTACAGGCTGACTCCCACAAGTAATTACGAAGCAGATAAAGTAATACTGAATACTGGCATAAAATAATTATTGAGCTTTGTACTGCTTTTCTTTTAGACAGATCTGGGCTTTATTTCGTGCATTCAGCACATGGTTTCATGGTTTCTTACTTGGTTCCCTCCAGTCCACTCGAATCTTTCCATTACATTCAAACGTAAGTTGTGCCATATGAGGTATATATACCACAGGATGTATCCATACTGATACATCATGGAGACAATTGATCAGAATGGGAGTAGACATTCCGTTGGTGCTACAATTTCAAGTGCAGTCTTTTGTATAATCATTAGACTACTTTAGAAGGGAGAATTTTAAAGATGCTGTAGTACTAAATTGAATTACAGGTAGGCCCTGCTTTACGATGCTTCATTTCACGCTGTTTCACATTAACGCCTGAGCAAATAAAAAAAATATAAGAAGAAAATTTGAAAATGCAAGCATAAACGCAGCACAGGAAGTGGGTACCTAGGCGGGGCTAGTGTCGGCATCAGTTGCTTTCTCCTCGTCCACCGGTAAAGTACATTATAATTCTTTCTCGATTTAAGCCACTTCAGCTAACGGACCTGAGGACGTGGAATTTAACCCCGGCATAAATCGGGGCCTACCTGTATTTAAAAGAAAATCAGATCAGAATCAAAGGGAAGCATAAAATGTCAATCAATAGGGATTGTCAGTAATAAATCTGTCGATGATTTGTTAAAATGACTATTTAAATGCATGTACATTTTAAACTAAAATGCAGTACATTCGTATTTCATCTTGATTAAGTCAAAATGTTGGTCCATAATCCTATAAAAACATAAATAGGAATAAAAATATGAACTACAATTTGTGATTTGTTATGGTGCTGAGTTTAAATTGGCATATTTATTTCTTACCTAACCTCTAAAGTACTGCATTTTTGTTTCACATATACGAAATCATATTTCCAAATAGCAATTAAGTGTTAACAGAAGACAGTCATAGATCATCTTAATTATTAAATGTTGCAAAAAAAATTGCAACTTAAACTGTGATACAAACGTTGTAATGTAGATATCTTATGAAAACAAAATGGACCAATATGCTTAAAAATATACTTGTGTGATCCTTACTCCTCTATTACGAAAATCTGTAAATATAAGTAATTATTGACATGTTGTTATAAATAATAATTGCTTAAATGCATATATATTTAATCTTTATCATTATTTAGAGTGAATTAAAAAAAAAAGACACGATGGTTATAGTTTTTATGGTAACTCTGGTGTTATTGCCAACTGCAGAGAGTGAAATTCTCCAAGTAGTTCTGTGTCTTGCTGTAGATGGAACGACTTGCGTCATCTCCGGCTGTTATGAGTCAAAAGGAAGTGTTGTTTTGTCCGCGGCAGTTCCTATACAAATTTTGTGCAGGTAACATTGTTTTGTATTCGTTTTCATGGGTTACATACTCTAGGTGAGCAAAATATTTTTGTATTGTGTTGAATTTGATATGCTCAAACTAGTGGTACTATTACATCAGATAGCACCCATTATTGTATGCCATTGGACGCTGTTTCTTAGCTTCTATCTACAGCAGAAATGGCTTCAGCGCAAGGGTTGCTGTTAGGTTAGGTTTAGTTAGGCTAGAGACTGTCATACAGAGATCGGACATCACTGGGACTGGGTCCGTCAGAGAGAGGTTTCATCAAAGACCGGATAAGGCAGAGCACTGTGCTGACAGCGAACGGGTGGGGAGATTTTTTGAATATTTTTTTGAAATTTTTCCAAATTTTCAAAACATCAAAAAATGCTGGAAATTGTCCAAAAAGCGCACGAAACCAAAAAAAAAAAGTTGAAATTTCACCTTCACAATTTTTTAAAAAAAAATCGAAAATTTTAGTTTTTGTGCGCGTTTCAGTCAATATCCAGCATTTTCTTATTTTTCAAAATTTTTGAAAAATCTGAATTTTTTTTCCAAAAATTTCACTGCTAGATCTATACAAGAACCTGTATCTGCCAAACCCGATCTAATACAGGCACGCTCTGTCTCACCCGATCTGTGCTTCAACCGGTCTCCGTCAGACACGTCCTCTGCCTCACACGGTCTTTGCCAGACTCAGAATATCTCATAGGTTAGGTTTAGTTAGGCTAGAGATTGTCATACAGAGGTCGGAAGTTACTGAGACAGGTTTCGTCAGAGAGAGGTTACGTCAAAGACCGGATGAGGCAGAGCCTGGCCCCGGACTTGCCATGCCTGGCCTTGCCTTGCTCTGGCATTGCTTGCTTCCCCGGCATTTGAAAAATTTAAAAAAAAATTGAAAATTTTCTCCTTCAAAATTTTTTTCAAAACTTTCAGAAATCTTTGGTTTTATGCACTTTTCAGACAATTTCCATCATTTTTGGATTTTTTGAAAATTTTCAATTTTTTTACCAAAGGTCTCCTCAAGAGATGCATGCCAGTCTCGGTGAATGCCACAGCCTGTCTCTGCCTGACTCGGCCTCTGCCTCACCCAGTTGCTGCCTGCCTCGTTTCCTGCACCAACCGGCCTCTTCAGTACTCTGGTCTCTGCACGTCCCTGTCTGCCTCACGTGTTGTCCGCCGCACATGTACTTCTCAGAGATGGCACGTCAGAAGCGTGTCATACAGAGACCGGTCCGTGCAGAGCCCGAGACAGGCACAGACCGCATTCGTCAGAGACGCAGTACATCAGAAACAGTCCGAGAGAGACCTGTTCTGCAAGGCATCAGCAGGTGGAATTTTGAAAAATTTCAAAATTTTCAAAAAATTCAAAATTGCTGCAAATTGTCCAAAACGCGCACAAAACAAAAAAAATTGAAAAATTTCACTTTCAATTTTTTTT